GAGTCGGCAGCGGCTGCTTCTTGCCTTACCCAAAGGAGTGGGGTGGGAGGGAGGGAGGGCGGGGGGAGGAACCTGTCTGTGTTGGCACGGTGGGGCGATGGCCATGGCCGGAAGGTCGGTTTTGGCTGGCCCTAGAGCAGAGCCTGGCATTCTCTGGCTCCTTTCTCTGCTTCTTCCCAAGGGGCACCAGATAACCCCAAGTCCACCAGCCGAGACCCCAGGGCCGCCTCCTTACTGCCTCTCCTCCCAGCTGCCGCAGTAGTAGCCGAGACCCCAGGGCCGCCTCCTTACTGCCTCTCCTCCCAGCTGCCGCAGTAGTAGCCGAGACCCCAGGGCCGCCTCCTTACTGCCTCTCCTCCCAGCTGCCGCAGTAGTAGCACTGCAGGCTGGGTCTGGCTTAGCCCGCTTGGCCTGGGGCCGCCTGTGGGAACAGCCCCCTCCTGCCTTCAGGCATCCCCGTCATCGGGCCCCCAGGCAAGGGAGGGCAAGAGGCCTGGGCCTGGCCGATCAGGGTGCGAGACCGAAGCGGAAGAAGCACCAGGACCGGGATTGAGATAGCCGAGGGGCCAACAGGCCACATGGCCAGGACTCGTGGGTTGCCGTTGTCTTTCAGAGAAGCCGGAAGAGGGCGAGGATGCTGGTTCCCTGGTTGAGATGTGGGGCTCCCCCTGGTTAGAGACGTGTGTGTGTGTGTTTCCTGTCCTGCCCTATAAATGACCACCCTTCCCCATCCTTCCAGTGTTCCTAATGGCCACCTGTGGCTTTGCCACCGCCCACAGAGTCTGCTAAGCGAGTCACGGGGCATGCAGTGCTCTGAGCCCTTGACCAATTTGTGTGGGGGGGGGGGGGACGACATGCAGAATGCTAAGCCACAAATAAAGATGAGCCAGACGGAACCTGGCCCTGTTGTGGATGCTACAACCAGAGACTAACTTCCCTCTAGAATGGCTAAGGGAGAGGTTTTGGGCCGCTGGCACAGGCCCTGGTTGCAGCCAGCTCTGGCTGGGGCATGCTGAGTGCTAATGCCATTCAGGGTCACACCCAATATGCGTGCAGGGAGAGGTAGCGGGAAGGTGTGCCCCGTGTCTCCCTGGTGGGGCTCGCTCGCTCGCTCAGGTGACCCACTGACCTACATTCCTGGCTTGGCAATCAGGCTTGTGAAACACCACTTGCTGTGAGAGCAGCTCAGCTCCCTTGGGGCACAGGAGCAGGTCGCGTGCACAGAAGGGCAGGAGAGAGTCCCACGTTTCTCAGTTGGAACGACCGGAAGAGGGCAGGCAGTGGGGGAGGGAAGAGGGTTGCGTGTAGGGACGCAGGGGAGGGGTCTGCAACAGAAGGCATCGGGGTACGTCCAAGAGACCCAGAAGCCTGGCGATTGCCAGCCGGGCTGCTCGGAGAAGAGCCAGGCCCGGCTTAGCTTCACCGTCTTCCTGGCTGCTTCAGAGACATGGTTATAATGGAGGCTCTGGTGAAGGAGCTCCAGCAGATTTCCAGGTTCTACAAAAGGCAAGGGGGCTGCAGACCCCCACTCCCCCTTCCCCGTCCTGCCTTTGCCTCCAGCGCAGCTTGCCCACTACCCCTAACAGGAGAAGGGAGGGTGATAATGGGGCACAGGCGTCCTCCCGTAGTTCTGCGTGGGGGAGGGGGGACAGTGAGGGCCCAAAGCCAGGGCTCCCTTGGGCACGCTCCCCCCCCCAATGTCACACATCAAGGCGGAAGGCTCCGAAATAGCTGCCCGCCTCATCGTCGTAGTTGACGTCCAGCGATGAGACGGACACAAAGAGCTTGTCGCCGGCCATGAGGTCAAAGAGGCCACCCTGGTAAAGGGCATGGAGCCCGTAGGCCGCATCCTGTTGCCAGCACTTGGTGCCCACGCCCTTCAGCAGCAGAATGGTCTGCCCGTAGACGCTCTGGCGATTGATGCACTGGACCAGCTGGTGGCCCAGGGAGCGGGCATCAGCTCCCTCGGTGGGGTAGCGGAAGTAGATCTGGGCGTAGACGTAGTATTTGCCCGCCTGGCTCACCTGCAGATGCCCGTCCTGGTAGGTGAGGTTCTGGAGGTGGGCATGCATGGTCCTGCTGGCCCAGAGGCGGATGGGATGCTGGCAGGACTGCGGCAGGTCCCGGAACTCCGGTCCTGGGGGAGGAGGGGAGACCCAGAAAGTCACCGCAGGCAGTAGAGGAGATGCCCACACAATCCTGGAGCTTTTTGGGGGAGGGAGGGGCTGTGTTCATGGGGACAGCGAGGGCAAAGAGGGGAGAGAAGCCCATCAGCCTCATAGACTGACCAAGGGAGGGGCTGTGTCACATGCACACAGGAGAAGCCCAAGCGAGGCCCAGCCAGGACCCCCTCCCCACTCCCCCTGGCATTAAGGGGACCTACCACCTTGTCCTTTGCCCAGCTGTAGAGAGGCAGGCAAAGGAAGGGCCCAGGACCAACTGCGAAGGTGCAATTGATCGGCCACAGCTGTTTGGCCCTTGTGTGGCCATCTGAGACCCCCCCACCCCAGCCAAGGGAAGAGCCAGTGGCCTGCAGACTCACCTGGCTGGGAAGGGTTCGGCCTCCTGAGGGTGAGGTGTGCCAAGGGCCGGCTGCCCAGCTGCCAGCTGGAGTTCCTCTGCTTCTGAGAGGCACCGACTAGGAAGGAAGTGGCACAGGGCAGCAGAATGAGAGGGAAGGGAGACGGTTGCTCATCTCGGGGAAGCGGGGTCTGCAAACAACCCCCCCCCCCTTAATCTGCCTCTTGACCCGTTCTCCTTCCCCTCCCAAACCTGGCCCACTCGCTTTGCACCCCATTGGCAGACTCACCCCTCGGGGCGCTCCTTTGGATGATATTTTCGGTAATCTGGAAGGGAGTGAGATGAGGAGACTTAAGGCCAGGGTCCAGCACTCCCTCCAACAGGAGTCATTCTGGATTCTCTCCACCCATGGAGCCAGCCTCCAAGTGGAGAGGACAGGGGCGGGTGCCCGGCCACAGTGGGGCACCGCTGCTTGGGCATATTTCGGAGAGGAGTGGCCTGCCTTTCCCAACCTCCCCTCCACGACCTGCACTCCTTGACTGGGCTCAGGATTCTGGGCTCCGGCATCCCGAAGGAGGGGCCTCTCACCGTGGCAACGTAGTCCTGGATGCCGAGTGCCAGCTTGAAGCAGGGCTGGCTGCTCATCAGCTCCTCCAGCTCGGAGAGTTCCTGCAGCCGGTTCAGCATCTGGAGGCACCTCAGCTCCTCCGAGGTGCCCTGCGTCTGGGCCTTCAGCTGGGAAGGGAAGACGGAGCGGTCAGGCGGGGGTCCCAGGTGGCAGCAGCAACTGGGCGGTGGAGGGGGAAAGGTGGCTTCTCACGGCTCTGTCCACTCGGGCAGGTTTCCTGAAAGATGCCTCCCTGCCACCTTTGCCATGAGGACGTGGCAGAGACCTTTGCTCCCCAGGCTTGGCATGAGGTTCTGGCCCTGGAAATGGCAACGGGTTTAGGGGGAACAGGACGCCTGGGGGCCTCCCTCCCCTTGCCATGAATTCCCCCCCTTCCTCCCGAGCACACAGCAGACGGAAAAAGCTGTTTCGTTAAGCCAAAGGGGAAAGGCTGGCCCGAATTTCCCCCGGGGTGACTCACTCTGGACACCCAGCCTAAGACCAGGAACTGGTTCAGGTGTTGCGAAACCAGCAACAGCTGTAAACAAAGGGAGGCGCGACCCAGCGTGACTGCACACCCAAGTGATGCGGGGCTCTGGCGATGATGCCAGTCAACACACGTCCTGGGCCAGAGCTCCCGCAGGACCCCCCACCCCCCGCAAAAGAGCTCGCTCAAAGAAAGCTAAGGAGCACCCAGCAGCGTCTGCCAACCAGCATTGAGGGGCACAAGGAGATGCTCCCCACTTTTCACTACTGTAGGATGCTTCTAATCCTTTTGGGGCTCACGTTTAACACCCCCCCCCCGAGTGTCTGGGCGCTAGTCAACCACGAATGCTGTTCTTGCTTCCCCCTTATCTACAGCATCGGCTTAGCCGACTAGCAAAGCTCGGAGGGCTCAAGAGCCACAGGCGAGGTGGGCAGGGGGCGGGAGGCTTAGTGCAGGCCTGTGAGCAGGCGCATCCGAGTGGCTTTCCTGGCAGCACGGACCCCCCCGGGGGTGTTTTTGCAACCTCAAAAGGTTTGGCGCAGCAATTCAGAGAAAATGAAAGCTAAACTAAGCCTGCAAAGTTGCTTAATTCAGGAAACTTTGGCCGCACCCATCCTTCCCTCGTCGCAAAACAAGCAGACGCACGCAAAGCCCTTTCTCCCAAGTGATAGCAGGATTGAGGCCTGGGCAGAAGAAGGCCTTGCGCGAGCCTTTGTAAACATTGTGGGCAAAGGATGGCGAAACTGGCACACGGCACCACCGCTCTGGAAGCTGCCTCTCCTTCGCAGGGCCTTCTAGCTGGGGTTCAGAGCAGGCCTCAAATGCCAAAGGAAAAGGGGTGTACATTGGCAGGCACCCCCCACACCCCCACCTCCAGCCCTGGCCAACTTTCTGCTTGAGAGGTAGTGCAGTGGTTAAATGCAGCACTGCAGGCTACTGCTAGATCAGCAGTTCAGCGGTTCAAATCTCACCAGCTCAGGGTTGACTCAGCCTTCCATCCTTCCGAGGTGGGTAAAATGAGGACCCAGATTGTTGGGGGCAATATGCTGACTCTCTGTAAACTGCTTAGAGAGGGCTGAAAGCCCTATGAAGCGGTATATAAGTCTACTGCTATTGCTATTGCTTTGGAAGGTCTATAAAAGCTTTAAGGGCAGATTCCAAGAAGGGACCAGGAAGTGCCTTTCTCAGCAAGGTTAATTATTATACTGAAAGTTTACCTCCAAGTCAGGGCAACACCTTGGGGGCCTAGCACAGCGGCCATCTGCTGACCCCTTGGCTCAAGAGGAAGGCTGGCTTCTGGCCTCCTGCGTGCCCCTCTGAAAATCACAGCCCCCCCCCCCAATTCAGGTCTTCCGATGCTGTGAGTTAAGCATCTTCCCTGAGTGTGAGACTCAGTCGTCGTCCCGCACGAAGGAGGCTACAGTGAATGCTATCCCTCCTCCAGGGTCTCGAGAACCAGGACTGGTCTGCTCCTCCGAGCAATGGAAACCCCCACGTTATTAACCAGCGGAGAAGTGAGCAGGAGCAGCTGAGGCCCTCCCTTTGGGGGGAGATGGACAACCCCTCCCCTCCATCGCTCCTTCTCCAGCCAGGGGGTTGGGATGGTGTTGCTATGAGTCTCTCTTGTAAATCCTTTTGTCCTGGAACTCAGAGCCCTCGTTCCTTCCAGCAGCCCAGGCTCCCGGAGGAGGTGAAAGGGATTGTGCAAAGCGGGGAAGGCTACTCCGTGACCCACAATCTCCTCTGGTCCTTATCTTTGCCCTTGGAGGCATCAGGCGCCTGGCCACAGCCCACCTGCCCTCTGATTAGCGCAGCGCTGTGGAACAGATTGGGGGTGGGGGCAGCCTGGCAATCGTTTGAGCCCTGCTCAGGGCAGAAGTCCACAGGGAGCATCCTGAGCAGATCCCGCAGAGGAAAACCCAGCACGCTTGACCCCCTTTCCCAGTCAAATGGTGTTTACACCCTTAGGATTTCCCCTCCCTAAGATTCACTTGAAATCTGCTTTCCTATCTGAGATCCAATCGGTTGTTATTATTCCGGCCACTCCCACAGATCTAGTCCTTCTCCCTGGGACCTCTTCTCAAGCCCCTCTCCACCCCAGGGAGGGCTTCTCCCAGCACTGAACATACCCCCCTCCTCTTTGCCACCCCCCACCCCCCCTTGCAAGCAGAGGGGAGGAGACTCAAACAAGGCAGAAAGCATGAAGCAGCTGCTTGACGTCATGGGGAAATTACATTTCTCTATGACAGTGTTTCTCAACCTTGGCAACTTGAAGATGTCTGGACTTCAACTCCCAGAATTCCCCAGCCAGCGAATGCTGGCTGGGGAAGTCCAGACATCTTCAAGTTGCCAAGGTTGAGAAACACTGCTCTATGAAACCAATGCTTTTCTTTCTTTCTTTNAAACCGCTTAGAGAGGGCTGAAAGCCCTATGAAGCGGTATATAAGTCTACTGCTATTGCTATATGTCTAGTCTACAATGCATCCCTTGTAGCAGTTCCAAGAAGATTCCACAATTTGATCCAGGAGATCCTGAGGGCATAGATCAACCACCAAGTGGTTTCAACAGCTCTCAGAGAGAGAGAGTGAACAATCAGATAACTGCAAAAAAAATACAATCCTTCCATTCCCCTCCCGTCCTCCCCCCCCCAAATCTTTCCCCTATTATTCAGCCTCAACCAGTACCTATCCTTCCTCCCTACCTCACTCACACACACACACCGCCATCACAACTGATGAAGCTTCTTGGATGAGAAGTGAAACATTTCGTTCTTCTTCTTCTTCTTCCTCAAGGAAAAAACAATCCAGTTGCCTTTTGGAAAAAGCACATAAAGACATAAAGGTTCCCCTCACGTATGTGCTAGTCATTCCTGCCTCATTCTTTTCTCCTAAAAGGGTCCTGGACTGGGCAAACACAACTGGGTGGGAAAGACCACCTGATGTAAGGATGTTCAAGGGGGCAAAGGGCCGAACTGGCAGCGCCAGAGGTAGAGATGGCTGGGAAAGGGAGCACTGGGGAGAAGCTGTCACAGGGCGAAGAGCTTCCCGCTACAGGCACAGTCTACCTGCAGCTGTGAATGCCTGCAATCAGCAGCTTCAGGCACCTGCTCATGGCTGACAGTTCCGTTTGGGAGCGGAGGTGGCGGCAGCGGCAGAGGGTGCAGTGTGGGATGTGCCGGAGCCCAGGCACTTTTGGGAGCTTCGCAGGACCAGGAACTGGCTGGAAAACAAGCTGGCCACTGCTTCTGAGTGTTGCATCTTTGCTCCGCAAGTGGCAGATGTGCCTGTTGTGAGGCCATCCCATGCTCCAGCCTGGTCGGGAAGATAGCACCCTTCACACCTGTCAAGACTCCTCAAGATGTGCTGCCTCAGTCGCTCCAGCCGCCAGTCAGGCCAGAGCAACCCTCCGCCTGCCTGCCCACCCATCGAGTGGTGGCTGGGTGGGCACCAGGCAAGCCCTGCTGCCCTGGCCTAGTGGCACCCGTGCCCAACGCTCACCTTGAAGGCAACATTGTGGAACTCATTGGCTACCCCCTTCTGAGCCGTGCCCACGCCCCTGCCCAGCCTGCCCACCGAGGAGGAGGCATTGCTGGGTGGTGGGCAGGATGGAGCAGGGTGTGGCGCTGCCGCCCTTGCCCTTGGGGCTCTTCTTGCGGGACATGCTGGCTGGCGCTGCTTCAGGGCCCCCCGGTCACTGGCTCCTCTGTGCGCAGCCCAGCTCTCAGCACTGCCAGCATCCTGTCCTCAGCAGTGCAGTCCATCCCTCCCCCAAAAAGACCGAGCCTGCAGCAACTTGCACAGTAAAGGCAATTAAGAACTTCTCAAACTCTCAAGAAGATTTTCTTTACTGTGCAAAGGCTTGCTTTAAGGCTGCAGGCTCTGAGACTGCAGGCAACCAGGGATTTGGGGTGGAGAATGCTGCCCATTTGCCCCCTCCCAAAGCAATCTCACAGGTTTTCAAGACCATCTGGAGAGGCGTTTTTTAAAAAGAAAACCCCCCAAAGGCCATAAAATCTAGAGAGATGGGCGGTTGGTCTTTTTTGGGGGGGAATCCCCAGAACCAGGCTGTCCAGTACCCTGAAGAGGTCCTTGTGGGGCTTTGGTGGCTGCAAAGCATGGCATGAGGGGCAGAAGCCCCTGAATCCAGTGGGGAGCCTAAGCAAAGGAGGAGGCGGAGAGCTAGGCAGAGGAAAACTACTGCTACTGCTGGATCTGCATTGCCCCACTGGGTTCGGGGTCTTCTGCCCTTTGGGTCGTGCTTTGCAGCCTCCAGAGCCCTGCATGGACCTCTTTGGGGTACTGGGCAACCTGGTTCTGAGGGGAGGGATTTCCAGAACCAGGTTGCTCAGCACCCCAAAGAGGTCCGTGCCGGGATCCGGCGGCTGCAAAACGTTGCACGAGGGGCAGAAGTCCCCAAACCAAGCAGGGCAATGCAGCTCCAGCAGCCCTCACTAGGGTTTTCCTCTTCCTCTGCCCAGCTCTTTGCCTCCTCCTTTGCTTAGGCTCCCTGCTGGCTCTGAGGCTGAAGACGCCCAGGGACAGGGGGTGGAAATGCTGCCCATCTGCCCCCTCCCAAAGCAACCTAACAGTTTTCAAGATTGTCTGGAGAGGCGCTTTTTAAAAAAGAAAACCCTGAAAAAGC